CCATATGGGATAGGACATACGTCCCACGGCTCCGGGAATCACCGCTGCTACAAAACCCCCTGCAACAGGGAAACCGAGTATACAGGAACAAAAAGTGCCCCCTGAGCCCCCGCATGGAGTGGTACCTATTACTGGTCCCACCCGGCTCCGGTACCGCAGCGGGATCCCAGATCTCCCCCATCTGCAGCCAAGATGGCCGCCGTTCAAATCATCAGCAGCAGAAGCTCCTCCAACAGCATGGAAATGGACGCAGGACAAGGTATGACAGAGCCACAGCAACACATCACAAACACACTGGGGCATGCTGACACCTTTAGTCCCACGGACCAATATGATAGAATTGCACAGGCTGTGACTTCTATACTACTACCCACCATTACTCAGGCAGTGGACAGAGCAGTAGCGCAGGGTATAGAGCAACTTAGAATGGATTTGGGGGACAACGCCAGCCGTATAACTGAAGCTGAACAACGCCTCTCCGATCTAGAGGACGAATGTCAAGGTACGTTTCACATTCCAAACGTACGCAGCAGTCCATCTTAGACAAGCTTGACAACCTAGAAAACCGCTCACGCAGGAGCAATCTGTGCGTAGTAGGCCTCCCAGAATCCTACAACACAGGCTCGCTGTCTGACATTTGTTCTACGCGCATTCCAGTTGCGCTGGGCATACCGTCACCCTGTCAGCTCCAAAGTGCACACCGCCTTGGGGCGCCTTCAAATGATAGACGTACGCCACGCTCTGTAATAGTCAGATACCTTAACTACACTGACTGCTTCGCTATCCTGAATTCATTTCGCAACTCACGCTCTTTGCAACTAGAGGGCCATAAGTTGCTAGTGTTTGCCGATTACTCTCAGGAAGTCTCCTGCAAATGTAAAGCATTCCAGCAAATATGCGCTACACTTCATCAAAAACTGATCAAATTTATACTAGCATACCCTGCCACACTTCGCTTCATGACGCCTACAGGGGACCATAAATCCTTCATTCACCCAGAGGAAGCCCTCCAGTATCTGCAAACCAATCCATTGGATAGTGTGGGCCCTCTAAACTCACATCATGACCCCCGAGACCCAGGCCCAAGAGACCAGCGCAGTCCGCGAAAAGACCCACCTAAAAAACAACGCGTCAACTTCATTACCGCCAAACAAAGGCCACCCTGACAGAACCCTCGACCCTCATTTGGATTATCAGTATTTCCTGCCCCCTCTCCACTCAATGGTGTGTAGTTTCACAATACAAGTGACTCTCACCCCACTCGTTTGGCCTGTTTACCTTCATATATTGATCCGTGTTATTGCTCTTTTGATTCTTTAATGATATCTACCTGCTGTTATGATTACAAAATTTTACTAGTTCAATTAGGACCTCTGGCTCTCAGTTATTGATGTTTCTAGTGTTTTCTCTGTATCCAGTACAGACCAATGCGCCGTTGCCGATACTAGGGATTGCTGACCCCTTCTTCAATACTAAACCATAACGTTTTCGGGTCCCTTTCATTTCTTGTTCATGGATTAACAATCCCTTGTTGCAGGTTCCAAACCCTATCGTTCCCGGTTACGCTGGTCAAAGTTAGGAGTTACCATGCGGAATAATGTGAAGTTCGAAATGCCTTTGAACTTTATTGTTACTTTTGCTTATTACATGGACCCCTGTTGGGTCGCCTTAGCATCTATGTACCCTCCTCCACCCCCCCCTCTACTCTCTCCCTCCTATCTGCCTGGAGACCCCCAAACACCCCAGCCTCATGACCTACACCAGAATGGTCTGGATAATGGTGTGGAACTCTCTAGGCCTACATTGCAGTGGAAACATTTAAAACCATATACAACCAATCCCATAACTACAATATCATGACACGCATAGTATCGTGGAATGTTAAGGGCCTGAGATCGCCGCATAAACGTATGGCCATTCTCCGCCACCTAAGCACCTGAAAGCAGACATTGCTTTTCTCCAGGAAACACACCTAACTCAAATTGATTTTATGCGCATGAAAAAACTATGGGTGGGCCAAGTGTTTGGCTCTCCCTTGGTCAGTCACAAAGCGGGAGTGCTTATTCTCATTCATAAAAGACTCTTTCCTGACATTATCTTGATAGAGACAGATGATGAGGGACGTTATGTCACTGTACACATTAAATTAGGCTCCTCATCCCTGGCTTTGATTAATACCTATGACACAAATTCCCCATCCAAGCAATTTTTCCAGACACTATCACCTAAAATCTCGAGTTACATGCATCTCCCTCTTGTTCTGGGAGGAGACTTAAACTCATGTATGAATATACAGGAGGATAAATCAAAATCAATTAACTTAGCCCGTACACCCCCTACCACTCAACCCTCATCACACACAATACTGAGCAATTTTGCTGAAGTACTACAACTCATGGACGTTTGGCGTCTAGCTCATCCAGAAGGGAAAGATTTTACCTTCTTCTCCCCTGTCCACCATACTTTATCCAGAATTGATTACCTTTTTTCTAACCCTGCCCTATTACAAAAAATCACAGACTCCGCTGTCCATGACATCGTAATTTCTGACCACTCCCCGATTTCTCTAACTCTGCATTACCCACAACCTAACCAACATCCATCGACATGGTGCTTCCCTTCTTTTCTGGCCAATAATCAGGATTTATTCCGGGTTCTCCATAACACAAACGCAGCCCATAAATCAAACCCAAATCTCTTTTGGGAAACGGGCAAGGCGGTGCTTCGTGGCAGGATTATCGCTTTCACATCCACCTACAAGAAAAACATTCTTCGAAAATATACAGAGGCAAGTCATCCTCTAAGGCAGACGCAGTCAGACTTAGCGAATCATAACTTTCACGAAAATAGGAAAGCTTGGACTGACGCTAAACGACAATTTGACACCTGGGCAGCAGCTCAAGAGACACTATACCAATCACACACTGACCTAAACTTCCACAAATTTGGCAATAAGCCGGGTAAGCTGCTGGCAAGATTATGTAAAAAACCTTTTATACCCACCCTCTTTACGTCCTTAAAAGACCCCCAGGGAGCAGTGAAGTGCAAACCCAATTAAATTATTGCCATTCTATTAAACTTCTTCTGGAAATTATACGATTCTGATCCTATAGACATTAACCGGGCCACCTCTTTTTTTAGATCTTATCTCTTTAACGCACATAGACCCAACAGCGCTACACTCCCTGAACGCCCCAATATCCTAATCAGACATCGTACTAGCCATTAAATCTCTTGCGAACGGCAAGGCCCCTGGACCTGACGGCTACACGGCCAAATTTTATAAACTCATGGCCGATACTCTTTCCCCCACCCTACAGAATGTATTCCAGGCAATTCAGGAGGGAGGGGAATATCTCCCCACTGGACTGAAAGCATACATTAAATTGATAGCCAAAAAAGATAAAGACCCGACAGACCCCGGATCTGTACAAGATGGTGATCTTCCCGAAACTTCCCTACCCGCTTCAGACTATAGCCCTCCTCCTGAAGCACAATGACATAACGAAGCTAAACCGGGCACTTTCCAAATTTCTCTGGAAGGGCAAACGCCCACACATAGCACTTGCTAAACTATTTTTACCAAGTAATGAAGGAGGCTCTGGCCTTCCAAACGCACGTGTATATAATCTCTCTTGTCTACTTCGTATCTGTTTGGACTGGCTAACCCGATCCTCCAAGTACTCCAATTACCTGGTGAGAAGTCAGACGTAAGTTGGAGGTTTCTCCATGGCTCTCTCGTTTCCTACCCATACATCACAATCCCTCTTTCCTCCCCCCACTTTCTCATGCAGCTTATGATTTATGGCGAGCACAAAATGTAACTTAGATACAGTATCTCTATGATACCTCTACGGGTTCCCCAAAGCCCCCCCAACATATCCTACAAACCTACAACTTACCCTCTCATCACTTTTTTTATGTCCTTCAAGTAAGGAACTTCGTAGACTCTGTTGCACCACTCAGATCCACTAGATTCCGTTCGACAATAATTGATGTTCTGGCAAACTCCTGCAACTACAAAATCTCAAAAATATATAGACCTCTAAATCTTCTATACACAAAACCACTGGACTCATCCAACTCTATGAAGTCTTCGATCAAAGATTTTGACAATACATTCTCAGCTGACCAATTAATCTCAGGATTTAACTCCACCTGTGCCTTTAACCTAAATGAATTCTGCTGTGAACAACAGCTGAATATCTTACACCGAGCCTATGTGTCCTGCTTCTATTCAACAAACTGACCCAGCTCTGTCCACATGCCCTCTATGCGGTAGTCACAAACCTTCATTACGCCATAGACTTTGGATCTGTTCTGCTATATCTACCTTCTGGAAGCAAGTTATCAACTTCATAAACTCTATTACCACCTCCCAGTTGTCTCTTGATCCACTACTTCTTCTCTTTAGCTACATGGACGATGCAATTACAAATTCATCCCCTTCTCATACATCAACTTTCAGAAATCATAAACCTTGGATGTCTACTTGTTTCTTAATAGCAAGAAGGTCCAGCCTCAAGAAATGGGTTTCCAACTGTCCTCCAACACTATCGGGTATAAAACAGGATCTAAATGACCTACTACGCCTTGACAGGCTCAACTTAATCATCTCTCCTTCCAAATCCAAAGAAGCGCAATACCTATGAAAATGGAAATCCTACATATCAGAATCTTTCTCTACACAAGAACAAATATTTTTCCTTCAGGACTCTAGCATTTTAAGTCTGTAACGGAAGCGCAGGTAGGACAGAGCACACGAAGAAGATGGGGAACACACAAAGCTTTATTGAAGCAACAAAAGGACAGACACTCAATGGGGAAATGGCAGGGAGGGGGATGTGTGCGCAAACCAGGGACGATTCCAGGCACAGGGGGTCTTCAGCGACAGGCAGGTAGTCTCCCCCATAGGCTTGGGGCTTCAGCCGAGCTCCCTCCATGACTGGACAGCGGATTGGAGACTCGGGCAACAGGCGGCAACCTACCACTGGGCCTCGGGCAACAGGCGGCAACCTACCACTGGGCAGGGGCCTCGGGCAACAGGCAGCAACCTACCACTGGGCAGAGGCCTCGGGCAACAGGCGGCAACCTACCACTGGGCAGGGGCCTCGGTCAACAGGCGGCAACCTACCACTGGGCAGGGGCCTCGGGCAACAGGCGGCAGTCTACCCCTGGGCAGGGGCTCGGGCAACAGGAGGCAACCTACCACTGGGCAGGGGCCATGGGGACTCAACAGGACTATGGAGACTGTGGAGATTGGCCACAGCACAGCTCCCACCCAGCTTTCTAGGGTCATTTGGTTCACGGGGACTCAACGGGTAGCGATGGCTCAAGCACTCAGGGGCACCACAGGTAGCTATACTCCAGGCATGCCATCAGGACACGGGTGGTCAGTGCACACACAGCGGGGCAGTTCGGAACACGGGTGGTCGGTGCACACAGCGGGGACATTTCAGGACACAAGTGGTCGGAGCACACATCGGGGACAGTTCCGAACACGGGTGGTCGGTGCACACAGCAGTCACAGTTCAGGACACAGGTGGTCAGTGCGCAAAACAGGGACAGTTCAGGACACGGGTGGTCGGTGCACACAGCGGGGACAGTTCAGAACAGGGGGTGGTCGGTGCACACAGCAGGCACAGTGTCGGGGATCTCCTCGATCCCCGCCGCGATGGTCCCGGCGCAGGCGCAGTGCACCGCCCTGTGCAGGGACACGGGCACTAGGTCCGGGCCGGTCCGCTGGGCACCAATGGCAACGCAGGGCGGGATATTTAAATGGCCCTGAGCTGTCATTCAGTGCCTTCTGGTCTTCCCTGCATCCTTTGAACCTGTGAACCTGTACCTTGTAAGTTTTGACCCGGATTGTACCTGACCTTGCTGCTTTCTCCTATTCTGACCCTTGCTTTGCCTGACCTCTCTCCTGAATGCCCCTGATTGGATATGACCTGCTGTTGCTGACCTGGCGTGTGACCCGACCATTCTATGCCCGCTGCCTTGTACCTTGCCGTCCTCTCTGTTACCGACCCGGCCCGTCTGACCTTGCTCATCCATCCATCCATCCCTTGCAGTGGGGTCTTCTGACCTCCTCACATCAGACTCTTCCCCCGTGGGAGCCCTTGGCGCATACCACTACCACTGACGGACGCACCCAGTAGCCACGACCTGGTCTTGGGGGGCTCCAAGTCCATCCCCACCATCAGGGGCCCTGGTGAACAAGCACCCTGGGACTTAGATTCCGTGCGCTGGGGACGCCTATTCAGTGGAGTGCTAGTGGTACCGCCAGGCGGTCCCTTACACACAGTTCAGGACACAGGTGGTCGGTGCACACAGCGGGAACAGTTCAGAACACGGGTGGTCGGTGCACACAGCAGGCACAGTTCAGGACCCAGGTGGTCAGTGCGCACAACAGGTACAGTTCAGAACACAGGTGTTTGGGGCACACAGCGGGGACAGTTCAGAACACGGGTGGTCAGTGCACACAGCGGGGACAGTTCAGGACACAGGTGGTCAGTGCACACAACAGGGACAGTTCAGGACACGGGTGGTCAGTGCACACAACAGGAACAGTTTAGGACATGGGTGGTCAGTGCGCACAAGAGGGACAGTTCAGGACACGGGTGGTCGGTGCACACAGCGGGGACAGTTCAGAACACGAGTGGTCGGTGCACACAGCGGGGACAGTTCAGGACACTCATGGTAAGCAGCTGGCAGACCCTCAGTGGCAGGCGGCTCCAGACAGGGACGACCAGCGGTCAGCATTCCAGGGACAACCAGCGATCAGCAGACAGCAGCAGCTCCCAGGGCACTCAGCAGCAGACAGCTTCCAGGGACACGCAGCCACGGACAGTATGCAGGGTCCCTCAGCAGCAGCTCCCAGGGCACTCAGCAGCAGACAGCTTCCAGGGACACGCAGCCACGGACAGTGTGCAGGGTCCCACAGCAGCAGCTCCCCGGGCACTCAGCAGCAGACAGGGTGCAAGGGTGCCCAGTAGACACGGGTGGTCAGTGCGCACAAGAGGGACAGTTCAGGACACGGGTGGTCGGTGCAAACAGCGGGGACAGTTCAGAACACGAGTGGTCAGTGCACACAGCGGGGACAGTTCAGGACACTCACGGTAAGCAGCTGGCAGACCCTCAGTGGCAGGCGGCTCCAGACAGGGACGACCAGTGGTCAGCATTCCAGGGACAACCAGCGATCAGCAGACAGCAGCAGCTCCCAGGGCACTCAGCAGCAGACAGCTTCCAGGGACACGCAGCCACGGACAGTATGCAGGGTCCCTCAGCAGCAGCTCCCAGGGCACTCAGCAGCAGACAGCTTCCAGGGACACGCAGCCACGGACAGTGTGTGCAGGGTCCCACAGCAGCAGCTCCCCGGGCACTCAGCAGCAGACAGGGTGCAAGGGTGCCCAGTAGACAGGCTTACAGACTGGCAGGGTCTCAGCTGTGGGGTCTGACCTTTGAGGAGAAGGCTCATGCAGAGCTGTGGAGACTCCCAACCCTGGAATATTGCAGTCCTGACCTTTTGGGGGTCTGCAGAGTGCACAGGGGGGATGGCTGGGGAGGCTCGGTCCCCCTCACCCGAGCCTACCAGCATCTTTCTGGGTGTAAGATGATTCCAGCAGCATGGACAGGAACAAAAAAAGAGGGCTGCTTCCTGTGTGGGTCTCTTGAAGATCATGTGGGATGCGGCTAGGTTGCCTCGGTTGCCAGCCCTGTCCATGGAAGCCCCACAGACCTTGGAATGTACAAGGGGGAAGGGAGGGGGAGGCACTGGCAGTCCGTGATAAAGTCTTTTCGTGAAACCCCACTCATGATATGTAGCACTGGAACCTGTCTTACAATAATCTGAAAGCTTCTTTTCCCTGTTTTCTTTTTATTGGTAAACTCGACTTGCTGATATGAGGTTGATCTGTAACCTCTCATCTCTATCTGCTTCTCTTTACTCTCTTTCTTCAATACTATCTTTCGTTGTTATCTTTGATCTGATCTATCGCTATGACTACATACACTGGGTTAACTAAACCTTAAACCGTCATACAACTTAGGTTTACTCCAGACAACTAGAGCGGAACACTCCACTTACATTGTCCCTAGTGGATTCCGGAACCACTAAGGTCTAACTTCCTTTTCCCGTTTCCTATATCTTTTCCTCTTTCTTTTTTTTGTTTCCAATCAATGCACCACTCCTTTCTCGAAGTCACCTCTACCTCGCATATCCTCTATACTACCTTTTTGCATCCCTCTCCAGATCGTTGGGGTCCCTGGGTAACATTTGACCCTTCCTCTGGGCTCCCCTTTCCTTCCTTCCTCTTTCTTGCCCCTCCTTCTGTATCTCTTCTCTCCTAACTTAAACCTCGGTCTTCTCATTTGCCCCCCCACTCTGATTTCATCATTCCTTTGGTTTGTTTGATCTCCCTATTTCCATAGTCCTCTTCTCTTCTCGTCCCCTTTTCCAACACTTTTCTCTCTATACACCCATTGTTTTTTTTTTCTTCATATACTTTTATTTAGCCCCCGATTACATATCCATGTCTATAACTTACTCACATTTATTCAGGCGATAACAACGGTCATCCTACGTACCCAGCATTAGAATTATATCACTCATGATATCATCTCATCTTCTCTCTCTAAATCTTTCTCTATTTTCCTTCACGACTTATCTTTCTTCTCCATATCTGCCCTCTTCTAGCCACTTTTACACTTCTATCTCCCTATCTGCTCGGGTGAGGAATTTTTCCAGCCTGATGACACACAAAGTTTATTATGTACCGGGCATATTTATATCTATATTCTGTGATGAATAATTTGATATAACTTTCCTAATGCTGTTAAGATGTCCTTTACATGTCTTGTTTTCACTCGCCACCTTATCCTGTTTTTTTTTTTTTCTTCTGTGAAAACCCAATAAATATTCTTTAAAAAAAAAAAAAAAAAGATAGATAAATCTAGGTTTTCCTTTAAGAAATTGAGCAAACAAGTTAGAAATGTCATGACGTTAGTTACAGTTTTTAATGCTATGATTTTTGACATTCCTAGGAATGCTGCTTGTGTAATGAATAAGTCAGAGCAAGATAACAGTATATGTGATAATTTGCCAGACTCTGACTGAGCAAACAGATGACCTGCAAAGTACAATTCAAATAAAAGATATTCTGCTGTCTGAACTACAGAATGATGTAAAAAGAATTTGTGTAAATTCTAAGGCAGAGACTAGCCAGAGGCAAGACAGACAAAAATCTTTTGTACCAGAAATGCAGTCTATAGAAGATGATCTACAGGATCATGAAGCAATGCTTAAGAGAAAATTAATGGATAAAGCTGCAGAACTTAATCTTAAGATCCTTGATCAGCTCATGAAAATTTTGAAGGATATGCCAGCCTATGATATGAAAGCGGATGCATTTCATAATACAGAGGTTTTTGAAATTTTGTGTAATAACTTTTGCCTGAATGAGGAGAAAATACATTTTTTTGTCAGACTTTGGCTACCAAATTTTATGGCACGTTGATTAATCAAGACGCCATATCTTAATGAGGATGATGTGGAAATTTATAGCAATGCATCAGACCAATTGGCCCTGATTTACTATTGTGCCTGGGCGCATTTCCATCTACTTTTACCCCGCAACGAGATTTATTATTGAGCAGCGTCCATAAGTAGACGCCCAATCGAATTTACTAACAAGACACACACCCGGAATCAGACTCACAAAGCAGACTTGCTAAGAGGCATGTCTAACACCATGAAAAATCACTGCAGAGACATGTTCACTTTGAAATTTGCTTTGCCAAATATCAAGACTTCACTTTAAACAATATCTGCCATTTAAAAAAAAAAATTAAGAATGTGTTAAAAATAGTTTTTTTAAAGGAAATCAACACAGTAAAAAACTAGACGCCCGTGCAGTGTCTTTGGCCGATATAAATGCGCATGTGCAGAACACATTTTATACGTCCTCTGTGGGCGCTTGCTTTTTAGCCACTGCTCAATAGTAAATCTCAGTGTGGATTCCTCTGACAGCAGACACTCGGTCACGTCTACTGTGTTTAACAAACAGCACTAAGCATATCTTTATGTATTCTAATTTTATTTCCATAGTTCTAGTGATTCTATTTTTGTTTCTTATCCTTTATAATTACTTCTGTAATGATTTTACTTATTTCGAAGGTCTAGATAATATTTATTTTGACAGCTGAATGTAAAAATAAAGGTCCGCAATAAAAAAAAAAAACAGCGTGGGTCCCCCTTCTCATCCATACCGAGCCCTTCAGGTCTGGTATGGATATTAAGGAGGAACTCCACACTGAAATAAAAAAAAAAAAACAGCGTGGGTCCCCCTCAATATCCATACCAGACTCTTATCCGAGCATGCAGCCCGGAAGGTCAGGAAAGGGGGGGGGACGAGCGAGCGGCGCCACCCCCTCCTGAACAATACCAGGCCACATGCCCTCAACATGGGGGGG